GGGGGTCCCAGCGCCTGAGGTCCATCGGCGGTTAGCGCGAAAGCGCCCTGGAGTATCGAGACCAGTAAGGCTTTCGCCTGACGCGGTTGGGATTGCTCCCGACGGGGAAGGGGAGGGAGGATCGAAGGTCGGCGTGTGAAACTCCTTCCTTCCTGTGCCTACTCCTTCTCCTGTCCCCCCGCGGGCGGCGCTGCGGCGAAGTTCAGCAGCTAGTCGCGCCTCGGGTCCTTCGGAGCTGGGGGGGTGGTGGTGGTGGTGGTGGTGGTGGGGGGGGGGGGGGTATCAGGAACACCAACACAGTCCGCATTAATGCTCTCCAACTCGTCGCCGAGCCGTCGGGCCGTGGGAGAGCTCGGACGCGAAGGGCCGATGGAACCCTTGCGGCGCATGCGCCGAAGTGGCTCCATCAGGCTCGCATGCGAGGTCGCCGCGGGCGAGTCGGTGAGGGTGAGCTTTAAAGGGCTGATAACCTGTGTATGGGGTTGAAGTACAAGGGTGCAGAACCACTGATCCGTTGGTAGAGAGAAGGAGGGATAGATGGATATCTTCCCCTCCCGCACGATCCAGGTCTGATCGATCTATCTCAGTACCTGAGCCCAAACGGCCAGGCGCAGGAGAGGTAAGGATAAGGAGTAAATATGAGGGTATTACACGGGTTCCATTCACACCGCGTGGCACCAGTAGCTGGCGGGCCTCGCGCGTGCTCAGGAGGTGGCGGACCAGCTTCTTGAGCGTCCGTCGGCGCTTCATCGCGGGCGTCTTCATATGCTTGCTCAGCTTGTTGACCACGCACTGGACGTCAGGTCTCTGGTGGCTGAGGTACATCGCCTTGCCCGCGCGCGACCTGTAGAGCACGGCGCCGTGGACGCAGAGCTCCTCGTCGTCCTGCTGCTTCTTGGCGCTGCTGGTCTCTGGCACCTCCGAGATCTTCGCGTTCTCCATGCCCGGCAACTTGGCCATGTCGGTGATCAGGGGCGGGCTGTCCTGCAGCGTGATCCCGTCGGTCACCTTTCTGATGCTGAGAGCCAACAAGCGGCATTCGTCGCCATCCTCGAAGAGCTTCACCACGTCCTGCATGTTCAGCATCTCCTTCGCCACCTCCAGGAACGAGTTCACCTGCTCCCTGGGCCCCGCGATGAGGAAGTCGTCGATGTACCTCCCCGCGTTCTGGTCGAAGTCGCCCTCGATCTTAAATGGCACACAGCCGTCGTAGTGAGACTGCTCCATCTGCATGTCCTCGGTCAGCGCCTTGCTGGAGTGAGCGCCCCACGCCTTGGGGCGGCCCCTCAGCCCAGGGGGGGCCGAGACCGTCTCGCACGCCGCATCAGGTGGCAGCTCCGCCTCTGGCGGAAACTCGATGTAGACCTTCTCGCCTGCGCCCTCGGGGTCCAAGGGCGCCTGGTCGAAGGCCCCGCTGCAGTCGCCGATCGCGGCCGCGCGCCCCTTCCTCGCCGCGTCCACGAGCATCATCTTCAGGTGCATCGCGGCGGGCGTCGCCGAGTAGAAGTCCTGCGAGGTCTGCTGGAAGCCCCATGGTCCAGCGCGCCTTCAGAGCTCCATCACCATGCTGGTCCCCCACCCGGCGTTCTGACAGAGGTCTCGATGTCACCTCCGCCCTCGGTTCTACTTTCGCAATCTTGCCGCCCCCCTTGGTCAGCTTCGCGACGTGCTTGAGCCGCGCCTCCTAGAAGTCCGCTGGCCCCCCCCCGTCGCGCACCTCGCGCAGCGCAGCCACCTCCCTTCGCGGGTTCGGCGGCTCCACCCCGCCAGCGCCTGCTGCGGGCGCTGGCGGGGCTGCGCTGGCCGCTGCTGCCGCTGCCGCTGGCGCGGGCGCCGGCGGGGCCGCTGCCCCTGCCGCGGCCTCGCGCGCCCTCTTCGCCCTCTCGCGCGGCTCCGAGCCTGCGCCTACCACGTCCATCGGCACTAGGGCTGCTGGCGCTGCTGCTGGCTGCGGCGATGGCTGGACAACTACGATCGGGGCGCCTGCTGCGGGCGCAGGCGGAACCGCTGCGCCTGCCGTAGCCTCTGGCGCAGGCGCTGCGCTCGCCGCCCCCCGGGGCGCCGTGCCCGGCGCCGCCCCCGCCGCGGGCCGCTGGGGGGTCGCGCCGATGATGATCAGCCCCTGGTCGCCCCTCACCTTTGGCGGCCCGCCCCTGATCGTCGGCGTCGCGAGCCAGGGGTTCCGCCCCATGGCCTCCAACAGCGCAGCACCCCAACGCCTGTCCTCCACTCGGCGCTTTAGCGCTTTAGCGCTTGGCTGCGCGCCAGACCGTTCGGCGCGCCGATCTGGTGCTCGTCTGTTATGGAGTCGCGCCCCGTGCAGAATCCGCCCATCAAGGACGTCTCCAGCTTGTTCAAGAGAGCCCCTGGGCGGCGGCAAGCCACCGCCTCGCCTGGCATCGGGATCGTTCTGGCGCGGGGCGCCCTCCTGAGCTTCCCGCGAGGCGCCGCGCCCGAGTCCGCCCGCACGTGGAAGCGCGCGCGCGCTGCCAGGCCGCGCGCCTCGGCAACCGCGCGAGCAGCTTCGAGTCTGGTCTGGTCCGAATGCCTGAGAGCTTCTCGATCTGAATCTTGTGGGCCTTCACCTGGCTGCGGATTGGGGCCACCATGCGCTCAGCACCTCCGTTGCTGGTTGATGGGGGCCATCGCCGCTGGCTCGCCATCCGGCTGCAAGATGAGCTCGTTGCAGCCGAGCTCCGAGAGGTACAACGTGGACGACGCCATCGAGCACGCGTCTCCCTTGCCATGGGTCAGCGCCGCCGACGCCCATGGATCGACCGCCATTGCAAAGTCGAAGTTCGGAACCCCCTCTTCGCCAACCCTGGGCGCGTCACCCGCCTCCGCGTAGTCGAACTGGATGACTGGCACTGGCTTCTTGGCACCGCTCTGGTGGCAAGCGTCGGCGCCATCGGCCTGCGCGCAGATGCCGCGCCGCGGCATCTGGGGGCCGCGCGGCAAAATGTGCAGCTCGGGGCCAGGCAGGGCCCTAGCTGGCGCGACCTCCGCCTAGACGTGCTCCACCTCGGCCTCTAGCCCCTGGACCTGCGGCTGAAAGTCGCTCAAAACTTCTTGGTCCGCACGAGCTGGGGCCACTTGGTGCCCTCTGGGTTGGCCGGCTCGAGCTGGGGCCACTGCGCCCTCCCAGGGATGGGGGAAAACAACTGCAACTCCACCGCGAACCCGCCCCTCGGGCGAGTTGCCACAAAACGAGGCGCGGACCGTGACGGCGGGGTCGATACCCCGAATGAGTTCACACAGTTGCCCAGCATCTTGCCGAAACTCTTGAAGAGGCACAATGCTCTTGCCAATGTCAATCTTCTCCAGGTACCTCCTCTCGGGTGCAGCCTTAGCCCCGGCCGCTTGCAAGAGGGCCCTCGCATTCCAAGTCGCTACACGTAGTGGAGGAATGGCACCACCAGGTACAGGAGTGGAGCATCTGAAGAGCCTCGCCATATCAAAGACACCCCTGAGGCTGGGCCAACGGCGCCACGAGGTGACGCGCGAGCTGCGCCAGGTCGTCCTCCTGCAGGTTGTACTTCTGCAGCGCAGCCGTGTCCCACCAGATCGTTGCGGGCGTCGCTCCAGCCGCCACCGCGATGCGCGGGATCCTGTCCCAGCCGATCGAGAGGACGCCACGGTCCGGATCACTGTAGGGACGTAGGTTGGGGTGGGCGTCGGCAGTGGCAGTCCGACAGCGACGGAGCAACATCTCGGTCCGAATCTGGCGAGGGTTCTTGTCGGGCCCCAAGTGCACGCGGGCGCGGGCCGCCCCAAGGACATCCACAAAGAACTCCTTCCACACACGCCATCCACACGAAGACGAAGCAAAACGCGCAGCACCTTGCGCGAGGCCGCGGCGACGAGGCCGTGGAACTTGAGGAGGAACTTCTTGCAGGGCGCCTGGCCCACCGGTGGGATCTCGCACTGGTCATCGGGGAAGCCAAGCTCCGCCAACCACTCGGAGAGACCAGCACAGACGAGCGGCTTGGTGGTGAAACTCTGGCACATGATGACCACCACTGTGGAGTCGACGTCCCGCTCAAAGCCCTGGTTGATCGCCAGCGGCTCGCGCGGGCGGGACTCGGCGAGTGCGAGCTGCTCGCGGAGCTCGCGCATCTGCTTCTTGAGCTCATCAACATCACCCTCCACTGACGTGAGACGCCCACCATGGTCCTGCAACGTGCCCGTACATACATCAAACTGCTCCTGGAACCGCCGAGAAGCATCATCCACATTACGCCGAACCACTCCAAGGATTTGCTTGTCCAGCTTGGCGGGCTGGCCCGCGAGCTCAGCACGAAACTGGTCTACTAATGCGAGCATCTTGCCGTTGGCCGGGGCGACGTGATCAGAGACGCACGTCTTGGCCGAGTTCGCCAACTCCTCCCTGACACCCTCCAACAGGGCAGGGAAGAAGTCCATGCAAACCTGGCGTACACAGCCGTCGGACATACACGCATCATCGCCCTCCTGATCTCCCTCGTCAGCAGCAGCAGCACGCTTGCGAAGTACGAGCTTACCAAAGCCGCCAGGCTGAGGACCGCCAGCAGAAGCAGAACCACGACCACCTTTGCCCGCGCCCTGAGAGCGAGCGTGCGAGGCATCCTGCGAGGCGAACGTGGGGCAGACATCGATCGCGGCAACGTCCTGGGACGAGAGCTGGTGACCATAGGCAGCCGCCATGCCGCAGGAGGTGAAGGCGTTCGGACCGACAAGAACAGGAAACGCCTCCGTTTACCCACCGTGCCGAGCGCAGGGAGAGTGAGGGAAAGGTGCTGCCAGATTTCAAGTAGTCTTGCCTGCCGCGGACTAGCGGTATCCACATTCTCCCCCGAGGAAGACATCACCTTGAGCCAAAATGGCTACGGAGGAGGAGGAAGGAAAGGGAGGAGGAGGAGGAGGAGGAGGAGGAGGAGGAGGAGGAGGAAGGGAAGACGAAACGGCGGATCAGGCGAACGCAAGAGCCGGTTGGGCGCCAGCGCCCGTCGCCAGCAGATGGCTCACCGAACCTTGAGGGCCTTGGAGTTCCTCTTCAGGAGACGGATGGGGCCCGGCGTCACCTCAAGCATCTCCTCCTCCTCCTCCGCCCTTCCCTCCTCCTCCCTCTCCTCCTCCTCCTCCTCCTCCCTTTCCCTCCTCCTCCTCCTTCCTTTCCCTCCTCCTCCTCCGCCCCCTCATCCTTCTCCTCTTCCTCCTCCTCCTCCTCCTCCTCATTATCCCTTTCTGTCATCCATTATTTTCCTTATAAGTAACTTCTCACTGCCGCACCCTGAGGCCAGTTTTTAGGGCGGGCCAGGCATTTCGCCTGAGACTTCCTCACCATGTATGACCCTGAAGCTTAAAGAATTACAATATGCCGCTCTCTTCGTCCTCCTCTCCTCTCCCGCTGTGGCTTTGAGGGGCTGCTTCGGCTCCTTTTTGCGAAGGAGGCCTGCCCCCTGGCCCTAATCCCACACGCGATGGCGGGCCCCCGCGGGGCATGGCTCATTCCACTGCTCATGCAGGCGCAGGTGGTGGCGGAACCCCCACACCGGGTGCCACCCCTCGGGTGCCATGGCCGGGGCCGCCGCAGGCGCGGTGGCCGGTGTGGCCGGGCGCCTCGGGACAGCCTGGCTGGCGCGGGCCCCTCGGGTACCGAGGGGCCTGCGAAAGCGGGCGCTCAGGCGGAGCGATCCAGACCGGGAACGGGCCCAGACCCCCCAGGCGGGGGGGTCGGGGACCCGGCACGGGCCAACCTCTTGCGGCAGGGAGGGCGGGGCCGAGGCGGCCCGGGCCCTTGGCCACATCCAGCCGGACCAGGGGGAGGAGGAATCCGAGGAGGGGGACGGGACTCCGCTCGAGGACCACGGGGCCCATGGGTCTCCCCCCCGCAAGCCCCCGCCCCCACGGAGCGCCCGCGGCCACGGGGCTTGGGTGGCAGGGGCCTGGGAAGTCTGGGTACCCGTGACCAACCCAAGAGAGCAGGGGGCCGCGTGAGCACCGCCGGGGATGCCAATGCCACGGTTGGCGGCAATTTGGACGCGGTGGACGGTGGGAGCCGCCCTGACCCACACGGATGAGCTCGCGGCCTGGACGTGGGGCCTCGAGCGGTGGGAAGGCTGGAACCGAGCCTGCGATTTTCCTGAAAGGCAAAGAATCCCAAGGAGACAGGTGGAAGGTTCCTTCGAAGGGTTGAGGCGACCCGTCCGCCTCCTCCTCCTCCTCCTCCTCCTCCTCCTCCTCCTCCTCCTCCCTCCTCCTCCTCCTCCTCCTCCTCCTCCTCCTCCTCCTCCTCCTCCTCCTCCTCCTCCTCCTCCTCATTATCCTCCTTTTCCTGCTCCACCTCCTCCTCCCCCCCTCCTTTTCCTCCTCCTCCACCCCCTCCTCCACCTCATTCTCCTCCTGCGGGTCGGCGGCCTGTTTGTTGTGCCAGTGCCTTCTGGGGCTCGCCAGTGGGGGCTTGAGCTTGGGGCACTGGCTCACTGGACGCGCGGGTGCGGGCTCGTGCCCTGACGGGGCCACACCCGTTGAGGGCCTGGACTGGCGGGCAACGGGGGCCTCTCCCCCAGACAACCAGTTTTTCCGCACGGTGTTAAAAAAGGCGCGGGCAGGACCAACGCCGCAGCCGCAACAACGTGGTGGCGGTTTTCGGAACGGACTGGGCCTGGCTCGAGCCCAGGGAGGAAGCCCAACCTGGAGCCAGAAATATATGGGTGGGAGGTGCCATTGGTGCCTTCGGTGGAGCTCCTTATGGGGTCACGAAGCGTGTGAGGGGTGTGCCGAAATGGGTGCGGCGGACGCGTGCGGACGGCGCCACTGGGGCCTTGGGTGAAGCCCCATGTAAAAAATGCTCGTCGCTCTCGACGTCGACAAACTCGGTATCGTAATCCGATCTCGTATCACTGCCAGATCGTTCTCGCACTCGTATTCGCTATTGCTCCGCGCGCGAGGGGGGTGATGGTATCCTGTTTGGTCAGTCGAGAGGCCTCTCGAGCTCAAACGGCACTAGTCATGCGCACAACTTTACATACAATCGTGCTTGCTGCATGCTATCTTACACAGCCGACACTGGCCCGCACAACTTTACATACAACCGTGCCTGCTCTACTGCTCTGCTTGCTGAGGGGGAGGGGCAATATCTAACAGCATTCTCTCATAAACCCTCGAAACATCCATTGTATGGAGTGCAATTCGCACTGGTGAAAAAGGGAACGAACACTTGTTAAAACTCTCGCCGAATTCACACGAGAACCTTCGCAGCAGCTAGCAGATCATTATCGCTGATTCGACCGCCCAACCTGGCGCCCGGACATCAGCTCGGCCTCGCTCGAGAGTAACTGCGCCAAAACTTCGTTGCCGCATAAACCTCTGCTGCGAGAAATAGCTTCAGTGAGAGAATGCGGGAAAGACGAGCACGATGCTGGAACAGGATGCACATCGCAATGTGCCGGGGCAGCGTCACTCATGGCGCGGCTTCTGCTGCGCAGTGTGAAGCTCACGGGTAGTCTCCCAGCCTCGGCGAAAACCATTCGTCACATGTTTGTGCTGTCCGTGCTGTCCGTCAGGCTCTCCAATGTTCGTGTAGTTGACCGGGCCCTGGCAACCGACATCCCACTTGATGGAACTCAGCTTCACCTTCTTCTCTTTCGGGGCCTTGGTCTGTCCACGCTCCTTCTCAGGTTCTGGCTCTGGATGGGCCAGGACCGGTTTCCGCCCCTGCAGCTTTGAGAATCGCATAGCACACGAAACCCAGAATCATGATCACCATCATCATGCGGAGGAAACCCTTCACGAACGTGCTGAGCGGCATGCTGATCACAATCCTCGGGCTGTCGGTCCACTCGAACTCCACCAGGGCGGTCTCGATCTTGTCCTTGTAGGTCTCTACCTGGCTGGCTGTAGTCCCCGTCAGAGATGCCATGGCCGCCACAGCATTGGTACTCGCCCTCGGTCTGGATGTGGCGGAACGCTTGGCCTCCTCCTGTCGGTCCTTGGCCGTCCTGATCTTCGCGGCCTGAAACTTCTACTTCAGGCTGATCGTTCCTGTCCTCAGTCGATCGGCCAGTAGTTGTCGCGCTGCCAACTTGGAGAAGCCATCTGCAAACTGGCGCTCAGAGCTAACCCAGTACCAGCCCGTAGCGCTCTCCGTCATGCGCCCCTTCAGCACCTGCACCTCGATGCCCGTCCGCCTGTCGTCGAAGTTGTGTACGTGGGCCTTCTGGGCCGCGTCGCACAACGCCTTGGCGTCCGCCACGGGCGCACTCTTGCCCAGCACCGTCATGGTGCCGTTCAGCCTCGGGTCCCGCGTCGGATCGAGCATCAGGCAGTAGTGCACCTTCACGTACTCAAGCGCGTCCACGCCTCCGGCTGCAGCTTGGGCCTCACTCGCCAACGAGGACTTGCTCACCCTCGGTAGCTGCCACGAGCGCCAGTCGACGATCACGTACTTGACGGTCTCGCCGCTCAGCTGGCGCCGGTGTGTCGCCAGGATGAGGTAGCCTCCTTGCGAGCTCCCATCGCGTCGAACTGGCCATGCCGCGTCCGTCACGCAGATGAACGTCACCCCGTCCGCGTCGTCGCATATATTGGGAAACACCTGGCACGCGTCGCTATTGGCCTTGGCAAACCTCATCGTCTTGTTGGCATCCACCAGGTCCTGCGCGGTAGAGCCCTCGTTGATCGTACCTTGTCCCAGGCTGACGCAGCACTGCAAATGCGGCGCTGCCTGATTGCTGGGCCAAGCCAAGCTTCCCATCAGTCCTCGTAGCTGTCGACGCTCGCCCTCGGTGATTGCCAACTTCTGGTCGCTCGCTCGGCTCTTGGCCACGGTGATCGGCTTGAGCGACTTGATGTAGGCCCCACAACTCATCTGATAATCACCGCCAGTCGTCTTAGTGAGCTGGCTTCCACAGAAATCCATAGAAGCGTCGCCGGCTACGTTCAAGGTGCCCTTCTCGGTGTCCCCCCACGTCCTGAAGTTGAAAACCTTCTTGAGCTCCTCCACGCGCGCCGAAAAGCACGCCTGGCCCTCCTAGCTTCTTCTCACCAGAGCCTCGGCGCGTCGCCCAGGCCGCACATGCTCTTGAACAGCTTCATCCTCGTACCCGGCTGGTAGCCGAGCATCCTGTACGCCTCCGCCGGTAGAAATACAGAAATGCCATGATCCGAGCGCTTGCCCTGCAAGAACGCGGTGCTGACGTCAGCGGTGAACAGGATCCAGCCGTGAACGCGGCCGAACATCACGATGAAGGTTCTGCTCGATCTCGCCATCGTCGGTGAAGATTTGGCCAGCTTCCCCGCGATCGCGTCTGGGTCTCGAAACCATTGGATAAGCAACCGCGCCTTGGCCCGGCAGCTCCCATCAGCGTTCCTCGACCACTTGAATACGAACCGCGCGCGCAGCACCTTGTTGGGGCCCTTCACCCCGTTCTTGTCCTGCTCCCAGACTTGGTTGTCAAAAAAGCTCTGCAACTCCGGGCGCTTCGCCTCCGCGAACTCGGCCTTGCCCTTAGCGTTCATATTCTTCTCGCTCAGCTCGCCAGCCACGTAGCACTCCTCGTAGTCCAGGTAGAACGCGCTGTCCTGGACGCTGTCGTTCCAGCCGGCCGGCAGCGCATCCAAGTTCAGGAACATCACGTCCTCCGCGAACTCCATCTTGTCGCAGGGTCCTGATCGGTTGTCTTGCCGACCCCGTTGCGCGGCAAACGTCCGCATCGGCGCCATCTCCGAGGCGTCCATGCTCCTCCACATATCCCTGGACCTCGCTGCCGAGTCGGTCACTGTCGTCGCCGGTGCGGGCGCGATGAAGCTCGAAGCATTGCTTTCGCGCCCGGCTGCTTGACCTTCTGGCTCTGCGGGTGCTTGTTGGGCTGGATGTGGGTGTAGGTCTGGATCGTCTGCATCAGGTATCGCCGTGTTGTCCGCCGTGGGTGGTGGGCCCTCGTTGCTCGCCGACCTCGGCTCGGCCTGCGGCTCGGATACTGTGGCAGAAACCTGCCTGAGCTGACCAGCCACGGCCTGCTCCACCGTCGGCGCACCTCCAGCTGCAGGAGCTGGCTCGCCCCCCCCCATCGGCTCGCCC